GTTCCTTCTCCTTATTGCATGACACCCCACCTTCATCACCGATGTCTTCTCCATCTCCATCACCTCCGGTGGTTCCTTCTCATCCCACTTTTCCTTTTCATTATACTCGTTGTCGACGTGTTATGGATGAATCTACTGACATGCCATCTATTTCTGGTGCACTGTCTTCCTCGTCCCAGCCGACTTATGGTCTTCAGGCTCGACCTTGCCCTCCTCCTGACCGCTATTCTCCTAGCAAATATGGCCTTTCGGTTGTACTTGAGCCTACCTCTTATCGTGATGCTGTTGTTCATCCTGAATGGCAGTTTGCGATGGCAGAGGAGATTGCCGCACTTGAGCGCAACAACACATGGGATCTGGTTTCTCTTCCTCCCCGTATTCCTCCCATCACTTGTAAGTGGGTTTATAAGATTAGGACTCGCTCTGATGGTTCTCTTGAGCGTTATAAAGCTCGTCTTGTGGCTCGTGGCTTTCAGCAGGAGCATGGTCGTGATTATGATGAGACTTTTGCTCCTGTGGCCCATATGACCACTGTCCGCACACTTCTCGCCGTGGCCTCTGTTCGTCACTGGTGTGTGTCACAGCTTGATGTTAAAAATGCCCTTCTTAATGGTGAGTTGCGTGAGGAAGTTTATATGCCGCCACCACCTGGGTATTCAGTTCCCGATGGTATGGTTTGTCGTCTTCGTCGCTCTCTATATGGCCTTAAGCAAGCCCCTCGCGCTTGGTTTGAGCGTTTTGCCTCTGTGATCACCGCTGCTGGGTTTTCACCCAGTGATCATGATCCAGCGTTGTTTGTCCACCTTTCTGCTCGTGGTCGCACTCTTCTTCTATATGTTGATGACATGATCATCACTGGCGACGATTCTGAGTACATTGCCTTTGTCAAGGCGCGTCTTAATGATCAGTTCCTTATGTCTGATCTTGGTCCTCTTCGTTACTTTCTTGGGATTGAGGTTTCCTCCACCTTTGATGGCTTTTTTATTTCCCAAGAAAAGTATATCCAGGATCTTCTTACTCGTGCGGCTCTTAGTGATGAGCGCACTACTGAGACTCCTATGGAGCTCAATGTTCACCTTCGTGCTTCTGACGGTGTGCCCTTGTCTGATCCGACACGTTATCGTCATCTTGTTGGGAGTCTTGTGTATCTTGCTGTCACTCGTCCGGATATCTCCTATCCTGTCCATATTCTGAGTCAGTTTGTTCTGCTCCCACTTCAGTTCATTATAGTCACCTTCTTCGTGTTCTACGATATCTTCGTGGCACGATCTCTCATCGTCTCTTTTTCCCCCGTTCCAGCTCGTTCCAGCTCCAGGCCTATTCGGATGCTACGTGGGCTAGTGATCCTACGGATCGCCGTTCACTTTCTGCCTACTGTGTCTTTCTTGGTGGTTCCCTCATTTCCTGGAAGACGAAGAAACAGACTGTAGTTTCTCGTTCGAGTGCAGAGGCCGAGTTACGAGCTATGGCTCTTTTGACAGCAGAGGTGACTTGGTTACGATGGTTACTGGAGGATTTTGGTGTTTCTGTTACTACACCTACCACCCTCCTGTCGGACAACACAGGTGCTATCAGTATTGCACGGGACCTTGTGAAGCATGAGCTTACCAAACACATTGGTGTTGATGCTTCTTATGTGCGCGCCGCTGTGCAGGATCATGTTGTTGCTCTTCAGTATGTGCCTTCTGAGTTACAGCTCGCGGACTTCTTCACGAAGGCTCAGACTAGAGCGCAATTCACCTCTCCAAACTCAATGTTGTGGATCCACCATGAGTTTGGGGGGGGGGGGTGTTAGAGTTATATTAATATTGTCTTTTGGCCTTTTGCATTCTAGTCTATTGGCATCCTCTTGTAGCCTTTTGGCATCCTCATGTATGTGTATATATATTGGCTTTGGCCTCCTAATAATACAAGTTGCATATCCGTAACATACTTATCCAGCAATATCCGCCAACCTTCCTCAAACTCATCTATAGTAAGCATGTGGTTTCACCATCTCGTGGAACTCGGCCCTAATTCACTCTTCTTCGTGTAAAGTGGCCCCAATGTCTCCTTGGCCTTTTTAAGCACATGCCACTTGTTAGGAAATATGCAACTTGTATTTTCAGGTGGTCATAGGCCAGTATATATACATGCACATGTGCGGTAAAATATGCCAAAAACCCCTTATAGAACGGGGAAAATACATAGGAATGACGGCGTCAGATCTACAACCGTCGGAGGAGCAGGAGCAGTGGACGGGTGGACCAGGGCTCGATAGGAGCGATACACGTGTTGGGAAAAGTGAGGAAAGAGATATCCTCTATCGAAAAGTTCGAGGAAGATGGGCGCAGGTAAAAGGGGCGAGACTCATCAAAAGTCACATCCTAATAAATACGCATTTGATGACCAATAGGATCCCAACAACGATATCCCTTATGCTCATCACTGTGTCCTAAGAAGGCACACTCAACAAACTGAGCGGTCGGTTCGGTGCATTCACCGGGGGCAAGAAGGACATAGCGAACACAACCAAACAAACGAAGCACTGAATAATCTTTGCGGCCTTCACTGACAGCTCGCTTTGCGGTCTTCTTCGCCATCTTGTACTTCTCTATGTTGTCTGCACTCCTATCCGGGCATAGGCGTCTGAAACAATCTTTCTTCTCTTTAATCACCTTCTGGACATCATCATTCCACCACCAGGTATCTTTATCTCCGCTTCTCCTTCCCCTGGATACTCCAAACTCCTCCAAGGCCACCTTACGAATGCAAGTCGCCATCTTCATCCACACATTGTTCGCAACCCCTCCTTCCTCCCAAGGCCCCTCCTTAATGACCCTCTCCTTGAACACCTGAGCTACCTCACCCTTGAGCTTCCACCACTTCGTTGTAGCGACTTTGGCATGCTTATCCCGCTGGACACGAATCCGAAAGCGGAAGTCAGCAACCACCAGCTTATGCTAAGGGACAACACTCTCTCCAGGTATCACCATACAATCCAGGCACGCACGCCTATCTTCTCTTCTCGAGAGGATGAAATCAATCTGGCTAGAGTGTTGGCCACCACTAAAAGTCACTAGATGCGATTCTCTCTTTCCAAAGAGGGTGTTAGCTACAATCATGTTGTAGGCTAGAACAAAGGTTAAGGCATCTTCTCCTTCTTGATTCCTGATGCCATAGCCAAAGCCCCCATGCACCCCTTCAAAACCTGTGTTAGATGTACCCACGTGGCCATTGAGGTCTCCTCCTATGAAGAGTTTCTCGCCAATCGGTACACTCCTAACCATGTCCTCCAGGCCGTCCCAGAACTCCCTCTTGGTGTTCTCATTATGGCCTACTTGCGGGGCATACACGCTGATAACATTGAGAACTAAGTCCCCAACTACCAGTTTGACCAGGATAATCCGGTCCCCGCGTCTCTTGACGTCTACCATTCCATACTTGAGGCTCTTGTTGATCAAGATGCCTACGCCATTTCTGTTTGCAGCCGTCCCCGTGTATCACAGCTTGAAGCCGGTATCCTCCACCTCCTTCGCCTTCTGACCCTCCATTTGGTTTCTTGGACGCAAAGGATATCAACACCTCTCCTCACAGTTGCATCAACTAGCTCCTGAAGCTTCCTTGTCAGAGACCCTACGTTCCAGCTACCTAAGCGAATCCTCCTAGGCTTGGCTAGCTTCCTTACCCTTCGCACTCGTCGAGTCAAATGCGAAGACCCTTGCTTATTTTCCACTACATCCGGGCGCCGATGTAGCGCGCCACTAAGGATGCGACTGTTGAAGTGTATATGTGGATTGCCTAGCCCTTTCCATCAGTTTGGACTTCTGATTGCGTTGGTTTGTGCATGAAGCTTAACATGGTATCAGAGCCCATGGTCTTGAGTTCAAGTCCTGGCTTTCGCAATTTATCCAAAAACTGTTGTTCCCCCCTTTGTGTCTGCGTATAGGCCTCTTGAGCCATACCTCTGAGTCTATCCACGTGTTGACTTCCCGCATCACACGTGAGACGGGGTGTTGAAGTGTATATGTGGATTGCCTAGCCCTTTCCATCAGTTCGGACTTTTGGTTGCGTTGGCTAGTGAATGAAGCTTAACAGCGACGACCCTATCCTCGCTCACTTGCCACCGTATCCAGATCAAGATACAACACGCCACCAGGGGGTGACAGCCCGTCCCTTGCCCATTTGACACCACACCCGGGTTCCGGTGTGGCTCGTTGCTGAGAGGGTTACGCCCCACCGAATTTTTTTTGGGTTTCATCTCCATAAGAGTGGCTGAGTTTTTACGTTGGCTCGCCAAGCCTATCACAACCCTCCTCCTTTACCGGGCTTGGGACCGGCTATGTTGAGACAACATAGGCGGAGTTACTGCCTGCATTATCACTGGGAAGAAAAACGTCCCTTCGCATGGAAGTGGCAGTTCACTCGCAACAATCAAGGTGTGTCTACACCTAAAGGCAGCAGCTGCGCAAGATTTTCTGTATGACATGCCTTTGGTGTCGCAGAGTCAAACAACGATACCAATGTACCTAATCAATCGACGTTGTTTACTTACGAGTTAAGAGTGGAAGCTCCACAAGTGCAGTAGTATGTCAACAATATGAAATACAACTTGTAGATGGAATACCCGCATGGGCTGTATTCATTAAGACGATGGCCTCCCCGCATACAAACAAACAAGCACAAGTTGTTTGCGAATATCTAGAAGGTTCATATTGTGGGTCAACCAATCATCTTTTGCATCATCTCATACATGCAGATCCCAAAGTATTTACTGTTTCATCTTTGTCTCATTTGAATATTTCCTATAAAAGTTGATAGTTTTTGTGTGCTTTACTGCTTTTATGTGTGAGCTGATAATTCCTTGTATCATGTATAAGCCTGTCAGGAAAGGTACAAATGGTGGAGTGACCTTACAAGGACTTCTTGCTGCCACAGCAGGTGGTCTAACCATTGGTCTGACTTTTGTTGCTGTTGGACTGATGACAGCTGAATGTTCTTTTGATATGTTGTTTCAACAGCTCCTAGTAATACCTATCTCTGCTGCTGCTGGTTTGCTTGGGAGTCTAATTGATTCATTGCTGGGTGCCACACTTCAGTTCAGCGGATACTGCAGTGTTCGGAACAAGGTAAATATTTCCATGACATCTTAGGTTGGAATCTGTCAGAGGCGGGGATCTCATACCTTAGCTCATTAGAGATAATTATTTAGTTAGGAAGTGATCGGTACAGTTAGAAAGATCAAGATATGGTTTGTTAGGAAAGTTTGATTCTATTTTTAGGCATCAAGTCGAGGCTTCGCTATAAAAGGGACACCATGTACTACATAAGAATTATGAAACAGATGAGAATAAACTAGTAAAGATCTAATCCCTGTGATGTAGGGTGAAACTCTAGATGGCCGATCTTTCACGAAAGGAGCGGATCCCGCGAAGAACACGAGGGGAAACACGAGAGAATCACTCAAACCAACAAGAACGATCACACATATGCTAGATCCGAGTACACATAGAGGTCACACGATCCAAAGTCAACACGGGACGATACAAAGGGTAACCGGTTCTTCTCCGTGAGGAGGTCTTGATGGGGGGTCTTCTCCCTGAGGAGGTCTTGAATCCAACGCGGATCTTCTCCGAAGAGGGGCCGCGGTCTCTCTCAAGGAGTAGATCCGTATGGATGAGCAAAGCTCTATCTCTAAATGAGCTAAACCAATGCTAACCCTAACTAGGAGGAGGAGGGGGTCTATATATAGTGTTAGCCCACGAAGGGGTAAGTGAGAGGGGGGATACATGGGCCCTTGGCCCGTCCACTGTGCACAGACAGGCGCCGGATGTCCGGGCTGGGGGGCGGATGTCCGGGGCTTCGCGACGGGCCGGATGTTTGGCTGGCGGGGTCGGTTCCCGATGCATTCGGTGATGGAGGGGCCAGGTTTCCGGGCGAAGGGGCCGGATGTCCGGGGCTTCGGGAGGAGCCGGATGTCCGGGGCAAGGTGCCGGATGTCCGGGCTGCGCTGGTCCTTTTCGGTGTTCTCTGGATAGCCGATGCCGGATTTTTGGGGCAAGGGCCGGATGTCCGGGCTGGGGCCGGATGTTCGGCCGCTGTAGCAGCTGGCTCTTCTTCCTTCTCCTTCCTTCGCTTCCGCGCACGCTTGGCCTTGGTCCTTGGGCTCTCCATGGTCTCCTCGGGTGTATCTGAGTATGCACATGGTCCGCGCCTGAAGTAGCATCCATGTCTTACCTGCGGAAAGGGAAGATTCGGAAAGGAGCGAGTTCACCTTAGGTCCAAAGGCGTATGCTTGAGTGTACATGGGGATGATCATAGGATGCTTTGCAACACTCGGAAAAACAAATGAGGTTAGTGCAAATACAACACTTATCATTCGAATGGTGAGATACCCAACAAGTGTTTTCATCATGCTTATCATAAGAAAGGACAATATGTGGCATGGTATGAAAGCATAAGATGCGACTACAGCCAAAGACAATAGGCTCAAGTAAACAAGCATGCATCACAAGTATATGTCCAAGTCTCCAATATCAATGAGCATAGATGCAACAATTGGAGGCAAGCGACAATGAACAAGATGTATCATGTGAGAGGCACGAACATATATGTCATCAACCCAAGAAAGCGAGTAATAGTGGAACATGGGTGATGTGACAAAGTAAGTAATCATAGTGATCAAGTCAAGCAAGCTAGTAGTGCGAAGATGCAACATACTAGAAGGAATCATGGCAAGCATGTAATGGGTGCAAATAGTGTGCATGAATAATTCACATGACATAGCACAAGCATGAAAGCAAGATATGAGCAAAATATCATCAATGTATTGGTGAGAGGCCATATGTAAATAGCAATGGGACATCATGACTCTCCCAACACAACAAGCATCAATAGCATGAGGCACATGATAGACATGGCAATAGCAATAAGGATCTTCACCAAGCATGCAAATACACATAGAAGTAGTATAATGGTTAATCATGGGTAAATGCATGCAAGGGTCACAATTGCATGGCAAAATCATATAAAGAGGCATAGCATGCAAAGTGAACACGAGAAAATGGGCATAACGTGACAAATGGTAAATAGCCCATAGCCGTGTAAGAGCCAAGTAAAAGGAATGCGCGAAGTCGTTGCGCGAAGAGGACGGTGGTAAGAATAGTCCACGGGATCCCAAAGCATCGTTGCTCTCAAGAGCTCGTTTCGTCAACTCTTGGGATTGAGAGGTTGACGCGTATACATGAGTATCTACACAAGACAAAGACAAAGACAAAGGAAAATTTGTGTGTGCGTGGTAGATGTACACATCATCCATCATGATGCGCACGTGCTTGTGTTGGCTAGCACAAAATATCCGCTCAAATAAATGAGATGCGTGATATAGAAACATGTTATCCATCATGAGAGGTTTGTTGTTATGTATAGCATAATGGAGACTCAAATTGTGTAATACATCATGAGAAATATGTAAAGCATTGTTATTTATGGAATGCCTATGGTGCAAGCAATTATGGAAGCATTCAAAGGATAGGATGTATCAAAATCTCTTAATATATATGAGGAAATTATAAAGGTCTCCTCATGAGCATTTGTATAAACATCACATGAAGAATATTGACAACATCCAAAAGAAAGCATATTTGGAACAATGTAATCATGGCATGGCATAGTAGATGAATTGCGCAAATCATGTAAAGGAAGCATGGCAATATCATCACATGAAAAACAAAAGCCAATGACCATCATCTCGTCATCTATGCCATGGGTGCAAATGAGATTTATTTTAATGGGGCATGCATAGCTACTATGTTGAGATTCAAATGATGCAATATGGGAGATCTCACTCATAGCATATGACAAGTTTAAAGAGTTGTCGAACATGACGTGACCAAAAGAATTTTCACATGATATCCTATGGAGCATAGCATCACAACTAGGCAATTCAACATGCTCATCATCATATTCATCAAAAATTGGTAAGTCATGACATGAAGAAGTTGCACTAGTATGAAGCATGGGAATAGGTGTGTCAACATCATGCAAGCAATCATTCGTAAAATAGTCCACTGGTGGGACAAGAGAAGCACCATCACCTATGTTACCTTTGAAGCATCGCTCATGTGTTGTAAGTGAGGTGTCGAAGACCAAGTCGTGGTCATCTTCATCTTGATGGAACCATGTGGGGGGTGCATCATCGTCCACCATGGCCATCGTCGTCTCCCTTGGGGGTATGTACTCGTCGAGGATAGGCATGTCGTCATGTAGGAGACCTAGCACCACAACAACAACAAAACAACAACAAAGCCTTTAGTCCCAAACAAGTTGGGGTAGGCTAGAGGTGAAACCCATAAGATCTCGCAACCAACTCATGACTCTGGCACATGGATAGCAAGCTTCCACGCACCCCTGTCCATAGCTAGCTCTTTGGTGATACTCCAATCCTTCAGGTCTCTCTTAACGGACTCCTCCCATGTCAAATTCGGTCTACCCCGCCTCTCTTGACATTCTCCGCATGCTTTAGCCGTCCACTATGCACCGGAGCTTCTGGAGGCCTGCGCTGAATATGCCCAAACCATCTCAGACGATGTTGGACAAGCTTCTCTTCAATTGGTGCTACCCCAACTCTATCTCGTATATTATCATTCCGGACTCGATCCTTCCTCGTGTGGCCACACATCCATCTCAACATACGCATCTCCGCCACACCTAACTGTTGAACATGTCGCCTTTTAGTCAGCCAACACTCAGCGCCATACAACATTGCGGGTCGAACCGCCGTCCTGTAGAACTTGCCTTTTAGCTTTTGTGGCACTCTCTTGTCACAGAGAATGCCAGAAGCTTGGCGCCACTTCATCCATCCGGCTTTGATTCGATGGTTCACATCTTCATCAATACCCCCATCCTCCTGCAGCATTGACCCCAAATACCGAAAGGTGTCCTTCTGAGGTACCACCTGGCCATCAAGGCTAACCTCCTCCTCACACCTAGTAGTACTGAAACCGCACATCATGTACTCGGTTTTAGTTCTACTAAGCCTAAACCCTTTCGATTCCAAGGTTTGTCTCCATAACTCTAATTTCCTATTTACCCCCGTCCGACTATCGTCAACTAGCACCACATCATCCGCAAAGAGCATACACCATGGGATATCTCCTTGTATATCCCTTGTGACCTCATCCATCACCAATGCAAAAAGATAAGGGCTCAAAGCTGACCCCTGATGCAGTCCTATCTTAATCGGGTAGGAGACCTAGCACCAAAGAAGAAAATACACTTCGAGTAGAGGGTAAGTCGTTAGAAATCATAGTGGCCTCACGTGCCGTGTCAACTACCTCACTCACTAAGTGTTGTGGCTCACTCACTCCCGGTATGATGCTATCATTCATATGGTTGGTGGAGTCACTTAAATGTCTCTCAACCTCACATAAGATGTGTGGCATGCTCTTAAGTGTGGGGCTAGTGGTGGTCACACTCATCCTCTCATAGGAAATGCACTCAATGTCATATATGGTGGAGTCGCTCATCTCACTCATGTGGTGGAGTCACTCATCTCACTCATGTGGTGGTGGCGCTCCTCACATGGGAATTGGGGCATCTCATCATATGTGGGTATCGGAGAGATATAGGTGCAAATGTCTCCATGCTCAATCATGTCGTAGTCGTAGCCGTGGATGAAGGCCAAAGATGGCACATCATCACTCTCCTCTAAGACCAAAGATAAGGTTTCATGTGCGGTCTCGTAGCTTGACTCAGAGTATGAGTCCAATATGGGCGTCGTCTTCATGTTGTTGAAGAGGTTCATGCTCGTCGCCGTGGTCGAAGGGGATGGCCCTTGCTCGACCGTCTTGTCGCCGTCTTGTTGTTAGAGGCCCATATGATGTGGCACTTCGTAGCTCGTCTCCATGACCGAAGGAAAATTCCCGTGCTCGGCCATCTTCCTTGAGGGGCTTCCGAAGATAGAAGTGTCGCCCTCGCTCGTTGGTGGTTGCCTCGTTTGTGAAGATGTCGATGTAGGCGAACTCATGGGAAGTAGGCAAAGATGCCGTACGTCCGAAGGCGAAGATGCCTTGAGAACACTTGGCGAAGATGCCGAAGTGGTTGGTGCAGCCGTAGCTCCGTCTTGGTGGTGCTCATCTCGCGGCCTTCTCTTATGCTCATGAAGGTTGACCTTGGCGTGAAGTAGGGCTTGTTGGGACTTGTGCATTTGCGCTTGGCGAGCATCTTCATGATGATGGTGTCGTTGTCGTGCTTGAGCTCGATGGCGTTCGTCGTCGTCGTGCTTGAGCTTGATGGCGTTCGTCGTCGTCGTGCACATGATGCTTGGAGGTGACTTGCCCTTCATGACGATGTGGATCACGAACGTGATGGTGGTCGCCATGGAGATGTGAACATGGACGACTTGCGCTTGCATCATTTTTGCGCTCCGAAGACTTGTGACTTGAACGTCGCCGCCTTGAGGATGACGAAGGGGAAGAACGGTTGATCAACAAGGTCCGAATCTCCTCCATCCTTGCATCTTGCTCCTCCTTTTATGTGGAAAACTTGTTGTCGATGTAGTCCCTTTTCCTTACTTCGGAGTGACGAATGTCGATGGAGAGGTTCTCGATGCATTCTCGCAATCTTGATTGTGTGCCTTGCATTTGTCGTTGTAGATCGAAGATTGATGCTTTGGTGATGTAGTTGTTCACGCCGTCGTTGTTGTGGAAGACCAGAGATGAAATGCCTTGCCTATCCATCACAATACTCGAGCAAATATGAGTGGAGAAAGGAGAAGAACTATACCAAATGTACCTTAACCGATGTTGAAGATGGATCAATGATCACTCAATGATGTAACAAGGAAATAGCACAGTTGGTACCAATTGTTGTCGATTTCTCACACCTACACAAATAAGGCTTATGGTGGAGCTCAGTGAGGATAATGGCACAAAAATTTAATGCAAAATGTTAGCAAGAGTCAATAATGTTGAAAGATATTCATAAATTCGCAAGTGAAACAAGTAGACCAATAGCAATGAATGGCACACGGAAACGCACACACGGATAGATAAATGGGGTCGTGCAACCAAGGATGAGCATAAAATGTGGAATCCACGGAAAACGCTCGTGTTGCACAACTCAAAAGAGACGCTAGCACGATTGCTCAATAGGCGGATACGACACTTGTGCATAACCTATAGGAGACAAAAATGCAACGACTAATATCCCAAGTATGCTATATATGTATGATGTTTCAATGGTATGATCCAAGATGATCGGATATGACAATCTTATATGCAATATGGTATGATGCTATGGCACTTGCTTACAAGCTTCTTTGCTCTTTCTCTTTTGCTTAAAAGCTTTATTCTTTTTTTTATGTGTATGGCCACTTTTGCACAATGCACAAACCAAGATAGCAATTGGGTATATGCGGGAACAAACTTGAGGCACAAGAGATGATATGATGATACCAATATAATATGGTATGTATGTAATGGAAGGTGTAGATCATTGATCACTAATGTGCACAAGTAACGTTGCCGGCAATACTCAAATGGCTAGTCTTGATAGGCAAGTAACGCAAAATGGGCCAGGGGTTAACAATGCAATGGCAAGGAAATATACAATGGAGGGATACCATGATACCAAGATGATATGGAGGTTACCGTCCGTGGCGATGATGAGTGACGGTGATCTTGATAGAGATACCAAGATGATGGAGACTCATCCCTAAGTAGCCGAAACACCTTAGGAAACGGAAAAACCGCGAACTCAAAATCTCAAATGTCAAATGTCAAAATGGTGGTAGCGGAAAGCGGTGGTGGTTGCGGAAGCTCAATGGGATTGCGGAAATGCAATGATGGGTTTTGAGACGCAATGCGGAAGTGGAGGGTAAGGTGGTGGACTATACACGGTGTTGTTGTTGGAAGCACGGTCCCTAAGTAGCCGAAACACCTTAGGAGACACAACTCACAACACAAACAAAATTGGGTTAAGTTGGGGTGGTGGAAGTCGCGGCGGACAGATCTGTCGGTCGGGCACTGTCCTCCCGGGAGTGGTGGAGTGCAACGTGGACTGCCATTGCCTCCTCCAACCCGCAGGGGATGACACCCCAGTCGACGGATCCGGACTGGTCGGAGTCCGGTCCGCTGCCTGCCATGCCAGAGAAGGCCGGAAACCGCGGAGGTGAGCTCGGGTGGCGGAGGGGAGTGGAGTGAAGTGGCTAGGGTTTGATCCGACGAGCGGATGGGGCGAATATATGTGGGGTCGGGTGGGTCGGCATGGTCCGGGTCTGACGTGACGGGCGTGCTCGGGTGCCCCCATATCCGCTTCATATTTGGGCTGGATATGAAGGGTGCCGGTCAGGCCGGGTGTTTGAAGCCCGTTTAAGGCGTTCGTGTGGGTCGAAAAATCGTGATCGGTCAGTGACCGGGCGGGCCGCCCGAGCGTTTGAGGAGGGTTTGGGGCGCCCGGATGTAGATGCTCCCAATATGAGACAAACAACGTGATTCCCTTGGGCTCTGCACATTCGCGAGAATAATTTTTCATCTCCATTGCTGCTTAGAACAGAAATATGAACGAGATTATGTGATGTGTCCACATACTTATGTGTCACATGGCATCCAGTGAATTTTCTTGACCCAAATTACAAATGTCAGGGGGGTATTTGGCTATTCGCCCCTTTTGAGACTGCAGGGACCAAACCGGGCCTTTCTGTCAAACTTGAGGGACCAATCTAGTACTTAAGCCAGTACTCCATTCTTTCCGAATCATTGAAGTTTTAGGTTTGTCCTAAGTCAAATTTGTTTAAATTTGGCCAAGTCTATAGAAAAATATGCTGAGATATACAACATCAAATATATATAATATGAAACATATTTCATAAATTATCTAATGAAACTAATATGATGTTCTATATTTTTCTATGGACTTGAACAAAAGTAAACATGTTTGACTTAGGACAGAGCTAGAACTTTTAATTAATGTGAAACGGAGGGAGTATACAAGGTTTGTAGGATGTGCCTGTAAATTCTCTTATCCACATTAGCTATTCTGATGTGATGACTTTATATATGAATTACACACATGTAATAATAGCGTTATTCTATTCTGGAAGCTTTGCTTTGCTGCTTCGGCGAGCATGAATAAGTGTGTAAGTGTGATTCACATGATCTTGAACCAGATATCATCCAGGATTTTCAGTTTCACCATATTGAACAGTTTGTTTGTCCTGTACATGTAGGTGGTCAGTAAACGGGGACCTACTGTCACCAAGATTTCTGGAATGACTATCCTGGATAATGATGCTGTTAATGCAGTGTCTGTGCTGCTAACATCGGTGATTACAGCTTATGCCTGCATTTTCTTCTTCTAGAAGCAAAGGTTTGGTTGCCTTTTTCGCCTGTCCCCAATGCGCAGTGATGTGTAATGTGAATATTCCAAGGACAGAATGACTGATGTTTACTTCAAGCAAGATGAACAATGAAGTATTGGAAATCTTTGGCTATTTGCTGGGCACAATTGACGAGCCTGATGACGTTTGCTCCAGGCAGCTAGTTTGGTAATAGTGCAAGTTGGGAAATTTCAAATTGTTTTAAGCAAGAAAAAGCTGTGCTGTAATGCGGAATTGACAATTATGGTTTTTTTGAAACCTATCTGTGTCGAAGAAAGTATCTAGTTCGCCGTTTTAGACCACAATCCAACAATTATCCCCTTGCCAAATTATAGTTAAGTTTTGTCTGAAGTCAAATTTTGTGAACTCTGACCAATTTTATATTATAGAGAAATATATGAGCATTTACAATACGAAATCTATACCATATGAAAATATAGTTCACGGTAAGTCTTAACGGTGTTGATTTGGTATTATAAATGTTGACACTTATTGTTAACTTTGTCAAAGCTTGACTTATGACAAAACTTACAGGGAAACGCTTCTAATCTATAGTCTGATCGAACCCCAGCTGCAGACCAGACCAACGCCGTCGATGCAATTGAAATCTGACGGCTAACATTGTGCTTCTTATTGAAAAAAAAAATCAACCGGCAGGGAACTAATCAGCCGCAACCCCCGTGCGTAACACTCCCCTAATCTCTCCCTAAAAAAACTCCACTAATCTCTCCTGATTGCAAACGCAGCTGCACCGGCCTGAGCTCTTCCACCTCGCACGCACCGCCCAGATCTCCTCCTCCCCGCCATGCGAGCAGCTGCCTCCTGCTCTCCTCGCCGCCGAGCAGCACGGCCACTCCACCGGCTAGCTGTGCCCCTGCTTCTCCAAACCACATCGCCTTATCCACCGATGCGACCCCCGGGGCGACAACGCTGGTGGACATCAGTAATCAAGTTTGTATGTTCAGTGGCTGCCTAGTATTGTTCTGATTTGTGTTAGGTCATTTGTCATCAAACTTTTTGTAGGTCATGCTTTGTAGACAATTTGATAACCCATAGCTATGTAGGTAGACAATCGTGTCTATTCCTTAGTGTCAATATTCAGTGCTTCAAATGATGGTGAGAGATGCTAAGAAAATATTGTTTCATTGCTTCCTATACAAAGAGCTTCCAAATATAAGCATCCACAGTTGGCCGCAAATTTTTTGGTTTCATTTTTAAAATTTCATGCTTCCACCCAACACTAATAATGCACCATTTGCATAAATTTCCAGCTTCATACCTCTAAAAAAATGGAAGCATGACCATGCCAAATTTATGCATCGAGGGTTGTTTGTTAGAACTGATGTTAAAAGGCTTGTTTGTTAGAACTGTTGTTAAAAGGCTTGTTTATTAGAACCTTTGTTCAAAGCTATGACACTTATTTTGGATCAAAGAGAGTTCTACATATGCTTCTTCGGCCTGCAAAGTTTGCTGCCATAATTCAACCAGTTCTTAGGTGAATTTTGTATGTAGGTGACACAACAAGCATCCTCATGTTGGCGGCAATCTTTAATTAATTTCCATGTGCAATTCTTTATGCTTCAAAGTAAGATGAGTTATATTGGCATAGCACCTCTTCATGCTTCATACTGATCGGGCTTCCAAATATATACTTCGCCAGGTTTCTATTTTTTTGTGTTCTATTGTTCTTCTTTTGAACACCATTTTGATCAAAATACAAACAGTGTATGATGTGACAGACCAATTTGTTGCTTCATGTAAGCCATGTTTTATACTTTTGTGCCACATTTGTTTCCAATGGTATTGAATTTTTCTCTTCGTCTCAATTGTATATGCTTCCATTGCCTATCACATATGTTTTGATCATTGAAACAGCTGGTCCATCTAAGCTATGGTTCCTACTTTAACATTTCACATATGTTTGTATAGCAATGCTTTTCTTTCATCCCAGTTTTCTGTGCTTCCAGTACCTATCATATATATTCTGATAGATTAATTTGTTGCTTCGTGTAATCCATGCTTATTTCATTTCTTGTGTTTCCAATATGTATTATTTATGTTTTGATACTCTTAATTTCTCATTGTGCTTCTATTTTATAGATGTTTTGCGCCAAACGACGACAACCATGCATCCTTAGTTTCTCAGATGCCTTGCACTGACGTCTCCCCACAATGTCGTTGTGGTGTGTCGACATGTTGTGGTTAATAGCTGGCGACAACATCCCCGTTGCTTGCTGCCATCATGCCAATTTTCCTTCGGCAATATTTCGCCTAAGTGTTCCCTATTATGCTAGTGCAACCCAAGACATTACCCCCCCGTTTCAAAAAAACCCAAGACATTACCCTTGCTTCCCAGCAGACTTCGGTGTTGACCATGTAATTTTTTTTGTTATAATGTAAATAATTTTTGTTGTTGTAACTATATTAAGCTTTTGTTGCATGGGAGCAAATTCCTTTCTCTTCCATAGCAAACTTTCATGGGTTGGAAGCAATGTACAATCAAATTCATGTTTCAGCGGAAATAAATGTATATGTTATCATTAGAAGCAAAATCGCGTTGCAATGGAAACACATTTTCCAGTCGACAGAAACATGTTATTACTTAGCTGGTTGGACGTAAAATAAACATTTATAATGGACCCAAATCTCTGTTAGATGGTGTTCAAAATAATCTGTTAGATATAACACAAACTTCAACTAGATCAAATAAATTGGGTTGAGGTTGTAGCAAATTATCGAGTCGCTGGAAGCAAAAAATTGAGTCGCTGGAAGCTAAATAACCGAGTCACTGGAAGCAATTAGTAGGAAGCAAACTTAATTGTACAGAGTCTTGTTAGGAAACACACAACCAAGGAGGATACACGTTCCACTAAAAAAGGGGGTATTTTTTTTTGAACAACAAAAGGCGCACTAGGCGCCAAACTTTCTTATTTCAGCTCAGAAACACCATACAGTATGAATTACAAAGCCCTGAAATTGAAAAGTAGAGAGAAGAGAAACTACAGGGCAAGTCATATTCCGATGAGCTGAAGCGAAACAACATATATCAGGTTCTACCACTGATGTTAGAACCTGGTGAGCTACATTGTGTGCAATACCATTGATCTCCCTAAAGATGTGAAACACCTGGGACTGAAGATCTGAGGAGTAGCAGAAGAAGTCAGCCAGAATTTTCCTTATAGTCCAAGGAGTAGTAGATTCCTTAATCTTTCTGCTAGCCGCCCATGGCGCCAAAGACAGATTGTCAGTGAGGAAAGTGGGCTGAGAAATGCATAGCTGTTTGGCCACTCTAGCCGCCAAAAGAAGCGCCAAAGCTTCAGCTTGTAAAGGTGTATCTGTGATAATAGTAGAAGCTTGGATCTGCACATTGACCTCCAATTGGTCTTGTGGTAAAGAGAGGTAAATTCCAATTCCAGTAGCAACAGATCCTTGAGTCAAGCCTGGAATTTTTTTGCATCTAAATGCTGCATCAGAGTATACTTTTGGTCCTGTAACTTGAAGATCAGACTTAATCGTTTTCCCCTGCATAGGAATCTGATTAGTAAGAGGTAAAACACCGACCATCTCATTGGATTTGAGCTGAGAAGAAATATGTATAGAATCATCGAGTTCATTACACAGGGCTATAGCAGCAGTGTTAATATGATAAGGAAGAGATTTTTTCCTACTAAATAAATAATCGTTCCTAGCTTTCCAAAGACACCACATAAAGTTGAGAATGTTGGGTAGAGAAGCATGAGGATGATTCATATTAATCAGAGCAAGGAAAATACTGTGAATATTAGGATTACTTTGAACTAAAATATCCATTCTAATGCACCAAAGGATTCAGAAACCAAGCAGCTCTAGCAAAATCACAAAGAAAAAATAAATGCATCTCATCCTCAGGCTTACCGCATCTGCTACAAAGTTGAGATATGTGCACGGAGAAGCGGCCAGCTCTCAAACCTGTGGGAAGAGCTTTTCTAAGAAGCCTTCAAGCAAAAGTTTTTACCCTGGGAATCATCATCTTTTGTTTCCAGACCTCATTTAGAAGATTCTTGACCTGCAAAGAAACCTGAGAAGGTGCAAATCTAGGATTGGCATGAATATCCTGCAAACACAACTTATAAGTAGATTTAGAAGTACAAATACCATTAGGGGTAAGGTCCCAACACAGAATATCTGGACCGTCCTCTTGAATAATATCAGTCTGCATAATAGTAGAAGCAAGAGGTTGCTGGAAAAGAGAGTAAATAAGGGTAGAATTCCATTCTTTCCTATTAGGAACCCAAAGATCTTTAACAAGAGAAGGGTAACTATATCCTGAAGGTTGAATAATAAGATGATCATAAATAACATTCCAACGCGAGCACCAAGGGGTGCTCCATATAGAAATATTACCTTGAGTAATCTGATAAAAAGAACGAGCTTTGAGTTTGGGCAGTATTTTGAGAATGGAGGACCAAAAAGTTGATTTTGGATTAGAAGGGCTAGCAGTCCAGATGGAAGAATCATGGAAGTATTTGGACTTAAGAACAAGATGGAGATGGGAAGAAGAATCTTTCACTATACGCCAAGCAGCTGCAAGCATCAGGCCTTCATTAATGGCTTGTAAGTTCCTAATACCAAGGCCACCCTCTTTTTTAGAATAACAAATATCTTTCCAAGCCCTAAGACACAAGCTTTTGCTTGAATTATGCTCTCTAATACTTGTCCACCAAAAGTTCCTAATAATAGCAGTGAGTTTGGCTATGAACTTCTTAGGAAATAAAATATTAGCCATATAGTAAACAGGAATACCAGAAAAAAGTGATCTAATCAATTCAAGCCTAGCTGCATGAGAGAGCAAGTTGGCCTTATAAGCAGGAAGCTTATTCATGAATTTATCCAAAACAAAATTGTAGGCCGCAGATCTATTATTAGCAGGAAGAATAAGAGGATGACCAAGATGAGAAAAATTAGCATCCATGTTAGAAACAGGAAAAATCTGCTTAATATCT